CTGGCCGGGCCTGCCTGCAGCTTTTGCCTTCAGTGCTCTCTCCTTGCGTCCGGGATATCACGCCCCCTTGTCTTCCATCAGCACGCACCTGGCTGTAGCAGCCCCCATCTTGGAAAAAGCAAGCAGCAGCGACAGGACCAGGGTCTTTCCAGCCACGGCCTCATCTCTGCAGAATTCCTCAAAGGAGATGTTCACTGCTCTGCCTCCCGGTGTCCAGGGCTCTCTCGAACCTGCCCCAGTCAGCTCTGTTGTGGAGGAAACATTTCTCCTCTACCCTTCCAGGTTCTTCTGAAATCGACATGAAACAGATCAACAGGAGAAAAACAAAATGTAATTTTGTCTGTAAGGGGGGCTCCGAAAGGACCGAAGCCCACAGGCGGTCAGTCGGGCAATGGAGGCTTAGCTGCCGTCCTGAGCTGAGAAGAAAGGGGCCGGGGGCCAGGACTTCAGAGGTAAAGAGGGCTGGCCACAGGGAGACGGGAAGAACAAATGTGTGGTAAACGTTGGCCGTTCCGTCCAGAGACCCAGGGACGCGGAGGGGACTTTGGACCAGCAGGTCTTGTCAGTTTCTCTCCCAGTTGAGGACACTCGGCTCCCAGTCTGTCGCCCTTCCTAGTAATGGCTCTCTCCCGGCCGCTACAGGCCCTCCGTCTAAACTCTTCTAGGCCGTTGAGGGAGAAGCGAAGAAAAACTTCTGTTTCTTGTCTCTGCACCCAAACTGCTCCTCTCAGGCAGGCGGCCGTGGGTGAGGCGTGGAGGAAGGAGCGGGTGGCATTGCTCTGCCAGCCCCCGTTTACTGCCAGCACCCAGCGCCGGGGAGGGAGTGGTGGCAGCTGGACCCTGGACCTTTATTGACGTGGTGCCCTCGAGTGCAGATGTGGCAAGGCTCGGCTGTGCTCTCTCCTCGTTTTGTGACCTTGAACGTGTCCCTTCTTGCTGAGCTTACTTCCCCACGTGTTCAAGGAGCCCCAGGTAACGATGATCAAGTTCATGTCGGCAGCTCTTATCTATCTCTGCCCGGAATTAATTTCCTACCTGCATGCAAGGCAGCTTCCAGTCCGCATCGCACAAGCTCTCGACTTAAGGTCGCCCTTCCCTCAAGGACTGTCCTTCCTCCTAAACTTCCATGTCAGCCAGTGGCACTGGTCCTTTCCGGCTGCAGGAACCCGAAGCTGGTGCCGTGTGCCACGTGCCATGCCTGTCGTTTTGAACTTCATGTCTGAATGAAATATTAATGTTGGGATGAGCAGGAGTGCCTGTGGTCACTCGTGTTACTGAGCACTTTTTTGAGGTTTTATCTAGTGCCAGAAGATGCTAAATGAGTATAAATGTTAAAAAGACCTTGATGTAGTTACATGTCGACGATACCGTTATTCACCGAGTGAATGGAGATGTTACTAGAGCTGTTGAGAGTTTAATAATGTGGGCACAGAAAATACTCAGCTCCAGCCAGTGAAGAAGACGGCAAATGTACGGGGTGCTTATCTCTGCCTGGACTCCCCCCCCCCCCCTTCACCTGTGAAATTCTTAACTTCCCTCTCCCTTCATTGGTTCGTGGCACAGGCTCCAGGAAGTCCCGCCTCCACTGCTTCGCCAGAGGGTCCATGGAGGTTCTCCCATGTTGTAATATGTAGCGGTACTTCATTCCTTTCTAAGGCTGAATACTATTCTTGTCTGAGTTCCTGTTTTCAGTTCTTCGGGGCGTATACCGAGGAGTTGAATGATGGGATCATGTGCACATCCTGTGTTTAACTTTTTGAGGAACCACCAAGCCGTTTCCCACAGTGGCCACACCGTTTCCATCCCCATCAGCAATGCACAAGGGTTCTGGTTTCTCTGATCCTCGCCAACACTTGAGATTGTCCATTTCAAAAAAAAATGATGGCCATCCTAGCGGGTGTGAAGTGGTCCCTCGTAATTTGGTTTGCATTCCCTGATTAATAATGACGGAGAGCATCCTTTCATGAATGCAGTGTCCATTTCTACATATTCTTTGGAAATTTGCCTATTCAAGACCTTTGACCATTTTTTTTTTTTAAGTTGGGTTGCCCTTTGCTTGGTGAATTTTAGGAGTTATTTGTATGTTGTGATATGAGACCCTTCATGCATATCTTGGAACGTTAGGTCCCCCGGCCTGGCTTTGTCCTCCTTTTTGTGTTTTTTTTTTTTTTTTTTAATCTGTGGTAAATGCTGCAGGTGGGAGAGGGCAGTGAAGGGGCCTTAGCAACTACACTGATTCCATGTTTGCAGTGGGACTAGCGTTGGACTAGTACTGGTTTGCCCTGTTGGCCTTGGATAAGTTCTAACTTGCCAGAACCGCGTCTCGGCGTCTGGGAAGTCTAGCTGGCTTTGGTCCTTTTCAGGATGGCCGTGAGGACAGCCACGAAGGGGTGTGCATGATACCGGACACTGTTAACGCATGCACACAGCTGTCAAGTGGACTAGACACTTGTCCTTACTTTGGTTTTGAGGATCCTTAACATTCCAGTTCCCAGCTGAACCTCTAAGAGCCCTGCATTTAAGGCGCGGATAGTAACAAGGCATGCTTGCTTTTCAGAGTCCTCCTTCCTGAACTTCCACGACTCGGACTGCGAGCCCCGGGGATCGCTGCCCTGCGACTCTCTGCTCTCCCTCAACACGGAGAAGATCCTGGTACGCATCCCCCGCCCACGCCCTCTGTGTGTGATGCGCATGCCCGAAGGTGCAGGTCCCTGCTTATCAACCAGGAGTTGAGCCCAGTGGGCCTGTGGGCATAAGACGAAGATCGTGCATCTGTATTGGGTCACGTTGCGTTATTATGACTTAGGAATTGGGTGGCCGGTCACTCGGGACCTAGGACATGTCACTGTGAAGTCCTCAGGGATGAAAGGGCATCAGGAACCTTATTTCTAGGAACCTCGTGTGTTTGAAAGTAGAGTCTAATCTCCTTTTCCCAGCCTTCGGCTGTGTGGGGATCTTATATGTCTGTACTTTTAATTTTTGTTTCTTTTTTTTAAATCCTTATTGTTGAAAGTATTACGTATGTCCCCCTTTTTCCCCCAGTGACCCCCTCCAGCCCACCCCCAGCCCCAGGCCTTCACCACCTGTCTCTGTGTCACATATGGGTTATGCATATGTGCATACAAGGTCTTTGGTTGATTATCTCTCCCCCGCCTTCCCTCTGAGCTGTATCGGTATTTTTTTATCAGCCCAGCTAAGTGTGCAGGAGAGCTCTCCACTCGGGTGAGCGCACGGCACTGGCACCGTCCGTCTGTGTCCGTCTGTCTGTCCACGTTAGCATGTGCTCCTCGGCCCCTCTGCCTCAAGGTGTGGGGGCTCTGCCTGCTGTTCACACTTAGTTCCATGAAGCCGAGTTCCTCTTCCGGTGCCCAAGGTTCCCATCTTTTTTCTCCAGGCCTTTCCCTTCAACATCCACTTGGATACTGCTTTTTCCTCTTGTCGAAAGTTCCACTTTAGGACACGCTTTCTTTCCCAAACAGATCTTTGCCTTTTCCTGTGAGAACTACTGACAATAGGAAGGAGTTGCAAACCAGAGGACGATGAACTGACTTGGCCTCCTTGGTGCCTAGCAGCCAGACTGATACCTGGACGCTTGATTTAGATTTGTCCAAGACCAGACTGGGCTATCTCATAAGGTATTTAGTGGGCCATGGAGGCCGACGGTGACCAGAGATTGGATAAGCCCCACCTTGGACAGACGATGAGGTGCTTAGAGAATAACGAAACTTCTGGTTGATAGTGATTCAGATGCTTTCTACTAGCTGGCTTTCCAGTTTGAGATGGCCCTATGAGTTGTGTCCTTATAAGAAGAGGAAAGTTGTGCCCAGCCAGTGTGGCTCAGTGGTTGAGCATCGAACCATGAACCAGGAAGTCACAGTTCGATTCCCGGTCAGGGCACATGCCTGGGGTTTTGGCTCGATCCTCAGTAGGGGGTGTGCAGGAAGCAGCCGATCAATGATTTTCTCTCATCATGGATGTTTCTATCTCTCTCTCTCCCTCTCCCTTCCTCTCTGAAATCAATAAAATTTTATTTAAAAAAAAAGAAAAGAAATGAATTTGTCCCTACTCTACCCCTGCCCACTTCTGTTACAGACTTTATTTTAATGTAATAAACAGTTTTAAGTCAGGAATGCTCTTCAGTCTACTCTTGATGTTGCTTGGCAAGTGATTTCTTCTCTTCATGGGACTTCATTTCTGCTCTCTCCCACATCCTTTTTGCACAAAGCTTGACAAATGGCAGCCTCGCACCGAATGCCAGATGAAATTAATAAGGCTTCTTCAGTATTCAGAGAATTATTTATAGCCTCCTTTTCTCGGCTCAAAGCAATTTATTAAGCAGGAAAATCTTTTGCATCTGTGTGCTGTCCTCTATCCACTGAGCCAAACCGGTTTCGGCTACTCATTCTTGATCTGTTTTCTGGGCAAACCAAACACCGCCCTGTATCTGAACATCCCCCTGGATTTGGAGGGTCTCGGGTGCCCATGGACATACCTCGTTACTCTGTTTGAGTAGGAAGCTTATCTCGGGGATGAATCCCAGTCATTGGCTAAGCAGCATGTACATTAGAAGAGTCTCCCACGTGAAATTATTTGGCTGGAATCTATGGAATATGGGGTTAAAAAAAAAAGAAGAATTGAAATAATGGGGATGTCTCCAGGTTCCAATCCTAGAGTTTTGCCAAAAGCCACAGGTCGTCTTAGCTTTTCCTGTGTGTGGGTGTGTGTACCAGGTTTAATCATGTCTTAGGGGAATCCGGTAGGAAGCTGTCATGTTAATGTGAACCCCGTAGGCTTAGTGTGTCACAGTTTAGCGTCGACAGCCATTCCTGGGGAAGTAGCAGCCCTTTATCAGACACGATTTGTCTCTAACACTCATTCTGTGGGCTGCACCGATGCTGCTTATGAAATCATCCCACTTACAAGCTCACTTATATCGTCTGTTTTCCCCCGGCCCCACTTTTGTTTTGAGTCCTGTCAGATGTGCGCGTGTCCGCATGGATTCCGCGTGGGCCATTCTGCCTTACGGGGAGGGTCATGTTCATCACTTGGCTATGCTTTATTCAACGGATTGTCTTGTTTCTTGGTCAGATTTTGTTGGTCCTTCTACGGTGCCATCTCTGTACAACGTGTAGCTCTTATTTCTAAACTGTGTCAGGGTTTAACAGCCATGTCCTGTTATCAAGACCCACTGAAGAACTGGTCACTAGAATGTGATGTTTGCAACACAGCTGAGGTCATTAAATGGTCCCTGGAGACGCAGAGGGAGCATTGAGGCCGCCAGCGAGATGAATCCCTTCGGAGGGGAAAGGTCTGGCTCTTGGACATGGAACCACCAGCAGTCGGGGGAGGAAGCACATGAGTTACACGCAGACAGTGCCCTTGGCGTACACAATCGCTGTGACAGAGGGACAATTTATTGCTTCTCCTATAAATTCAGGGTAGCTTTACTTTTCCAACGGTAGGTTTTTATTATGTTTATTATGATAAGCTAACGTGTCTGTCTGTTTTTTTATTTCAGAGCCAGGCCAAGTCTATCGCAGAACAGAAGAGATTTCCGTTTGCTACTGACAACGACAGCACAAACGAGGAGTTAGGTGAGACTTCCTCCGGGGGTGCTGCTGTGGTTTCCCCTCAAATCTGTGATTACACGCAGAGCCGGTAGGCAGGATGGAGAGGTAGAGAGAGCACGGAGACCGACAGAGACGGGCTCTGGTGCGAGTGGTCTGATCTGTGCGAGTCCATGCGTCGTGGCATAAAAGAAAGGGCTTAGACGGAATGATCGGGAAGGACTGTTCCAGCCCGTGCTTCCACGGAAATTAATAATTAAGGGAATGAGTTCCTAGGAACTGTTACTCATTAAAAGGTTGTGTGTAGTCATCAAGTATGAACAGTGTAGAAGTGAAAGCAGAAGGGAACCACGCCTACTCCCGCCTTCTGTGTAATAAAAAGGGTAGGTGTGGGTTCACTCGCTCATGGGGACAGTCATCACCACGGGCTGAGAACGTGGGTAGAGGAAGTTGAGGTTATTCAGTTTGGCAAGTGGGTCGCGCAGTTGGCTTGTCCAGGGTGTGTTTAAAACAGGCGGGCTGGCCCGTGTCTGGTAGGCTTTTGGGTGTGTCTTCTCATTCCCTGGTCAGCTCACCCTTGAAGGAGTGGAAATAGTTCGAGAGATACAGGACTGAACCGGGCAGCGGGGCAGACCTCACAGGAGCACATGCCTGCTCCGGGCACGTATACAACGATTTCTTACCTAATCCTATATAATAAAGAGCTACTATGCTAATTAGACCAGACGGTGGAATGACCTCCCAGAATGACCTTCTGGAATGACCTTCCAGAACGACCAGTGGGCAGGGCCACAAGGCAGCTGGGGCTGCAAGGGCCAAGTCCCTTGCATGAATTTTGTGCACCGGGCCTCTAGTTTACACATGACCATCAAATGCTTTCTGCGGCCATGCACATTGTATATGAGAACCGAGCACTTCTTGTCTTGCCTCCTTTCCTCTGGGGGTGCCGATGATTGAGAGTCACTTACTTTGAAAGTATTCATCCCTTTTTGGTGCTATTTTTGGAGCAGCCTTTGACAAGCAATGACCCTATAAGGCCCAGATTTGGTCTTTTCGGAAGTCCTCATCGAGGAATTGAAACCATTCTTGTATTCCAGGCCAGTGCCCAGCAGCTCCGCTGCAGCTTGTGTATTTCCCAGGAAGGTGTTGGTTTGCAGGGGGTCCCGGAGCCGAGCTGGGCAGCCTGGTTCCTGCGTCTCATTCACTGCACGTTGTCTTTGGACAGTTTGTTTAACGACTTTACGCTTGTCTGCAAGTGGGGATGTTAGTCGTACCCGCCTCATTGCCGTTAAGGAGTCAATACGTTAGCGTGTGTCAGTGCTCAGGACTGGGTCTTGCACGTGTTAAGAGTGCAGTACCTGTCACTGTTATTACTGTTTGTTGCTTTTCCCTCTGATATGACTGGCCCTCACCAAAGACGTCTTTGGTTATCTTGTTACCCGATAGGACTATCTGAATAGCACCCACTGTTCTGCCGGATACAAGTTTGACCTTAATGTGTCTTTTCAAAGTATAAAAACAGTCCTTTGTTTTTTTTTTTATTTTTTATTTTGGAGAATGCCCTCCAAAGCTCTTGTATTATTATGATGCTCAATGTTTTGGAACTTTGCTTTTCTCAAGTTAGTTACAGAGATGATTTAAATCTTTTCTGCATTTAATGTTTTCCTGCATTTAAGCGTTTTACTACTTTTTAACTGTCAGGAAATTTAAGCTCTACTGACAGTAAAAGTTTTAGTTGCCCATCTTTTTAACACCTATGACATCTTAGAATTAGAGTTGCAGTACAGCTTTTTTTTGCAAAGAAATATAGTATATTGAATGAGGAATATTTTTTTCAGGTATATTTGGGGATGTACAGAGTTTGGGCAAGTATTATAGATGGAAATATAATACATAATATTAAAATTTACCTAAACAGTTTGATCAAAACTACTCATTCTTCACTAGTGTAAATTTTGAGTAGTGTTTTGACTGTATTTTGAATAAGAGAGGTAGAAAAAAGACTACCATTTCATTGCAGTTGTGTGAATTACTTACAGTTAAGTATTATGTTAATATATGTTAATTTGAGCCTCTATTTTTGTTCTCATTAGGTAATTGGTAGTAAATTTAGCACCCCCAGGAATCGAGATTTGTGATGCTCTTTGGGTATTTCTCATGACTTTCACAGTAAAATCACATGTTATGTGGATATTATTCAGGGTCATTACTAGTTCTTTTGAGATATAGATAGGAAGGCTCATAAAGGTTATTTGGTATTTGAAAGTGAGTGATGGACTTGGAAAAAGATAATTACTTCTTGTAGGCAGATGTTTTATAGATGGCTTTAATAATTTAAACCCAGATAAAACTAGGAGACTGATTAGCAAGTGCTGAGTGGTAGAGGAATTCGATTACATCTTATTAATGTCTAGGATTTCTTTAACTGCTTCTAGTCCTTACAGCTGCCTTTTAAGATTCAGTAAAGAATTTTTGTTACTGATTCTCGTCAGAGATCCTTCATTCTGTCCTTTAATATTTTTGCATTTTTTTTCTACAGCTATTGCTTATGTGTTGATTGGCAGTGGTCTCTATGATGAAGCAATAAGACATTTCTCAACAATGCTTCAGGTAATTTTTCTCCTTAATTATGTAATTTCAAGTTCATAGTCATGACAAAAATACGGACTCACGCATCGTTGAAGTGTTGCAGTAATCCATCTATTTTAGGGTTAGTTACGAAAGCCCAGGAAATCAGCCCTGACTGGGAGCACTTCTTGGGTGCAGGCCTCGTCCGGGGTCTCGTTCCATCCGCAGTTTTACTGTAAATGAGGAAAGCGAGGCCCGCCCTCGGGTGGCAGGTGGGCTTCAAATGCAGGTTTAAAAAGTCATTAGCTCAGTTCACTTGCCTCCCTACCGTGGCATCTCCCACGGGTGTGGGCACTGGTGCTTCTTGGAATCCAGATGTTTGCTTTCTATGCAGGAATTGCTCTCAGTGGTTAAGTCCCACTCGTGGATTTGTTTCTCACTTGTAATTACGAGACTCCTCTGTGGGATTATGGGGCCTTGGATGATGGATAACAGCGCTAAAATCTGGTTAAGGCAAAATGCTTAATACATAGTTACAAAGGGACCCTTCATGGAGCCTAACGTGGTTGGCCTCATATGTCCCGTCATCATGTAACCGTATTTCTGTAGCTACGTCACCATTACCGATGGCTGACGTAGAGGACAGTGAAGAACACATGGACTTTAGAGATACTCAGGTCCCAATCCACTTAGCTGCTCACTAGCAAGTTACTTAACCTCCTAGATTATGGGGATATAACTACCTCCAAAATATTCCTGTTAGTCCTAAATGCAATACCCTACAAAGTACTTCGGATCCAGTACTTGGCACACAGTAAATGCTCAGTACATTTTTTTTTTCAATATATTTTATTGATTTTTTACAGAGAGGAAGGGAGAGAGATAGAGAGTTAGAAACATCGATGAAAGAGAAACATTGATCAGCCGCCTCCTGCACATCTCCCACTGGGGACGCGCCCGCAACCCAGGTACATGCCCTTGACCGGAATCGAACCCGGGACCTTTCAGTCCACAGGCCGACGCTCTATCCACTGAGCCAAACCGGTTTTGGCAGTTTTCTCTTTTTTAAACATGGGTTTGGTTATGTTGATAACCCTATCTTTGCTCTCAAAAAAATTGATGGTATATTTTTTAGTTATTACTTTAAAGTCCCCAAGGAGCTGTGCGTTTGGGTGGACACATGGAATAATATTCTTCAGTAGAGTTTATAGTACAAAGGATAGAGTGTAAATAGTTTTTAAAGCATCTTCCTGTTTAACATTGCAATATTTAAAAAGGTAAGCTGGCACTTGTACACAGTCAACACTTGGGCCTGGATTGAAAGGGCGGTTTTGATACATTTATAGGCACAAATGTCAATTAACCTATGGTGATCAACAGCAGAAAACAGTATGAGCTCGCAGATATGTTATCAATTTATTCAACTCTTTGAAAATATTATTACCATTGTAGTTGAAGCAAATATAGCAATGTTAAAGAAAAAAATTTTAAAGAAAAAAAAATTCCAGTTTTGCCACTCTACCATTAAAGTTTTTTATTGATGATCTTTTCAAAATAGGCATTTGTGTTTTGTAATCTGATTATATGTACTGTTTGTATTACGTTTTCATTTAGTTTTATAAGTAAATGTTTTCCAGTATTTCTCTACAATCTTACTTTAATGGCCCTATAACATGTCTTTGTATTGTCCATTTATTGCTGCAAACCTTTTCTCTTCTAATTGTGTTCAGAAAGTAAATCTCTCTTTGTGCTGATAAAAGATATTAATATATTGAAATGTAATAGAGCATTTTCATCAGTCTCTGAGATAATGGATTGCTTTGGTCTGGGAAGTCTTTTTTTTTTTTAACATTTTTATTGATTTCAGAGAGAAAGGGGGAGAGAGAGAGAGAGATAGAAGCATCAATGATGAGGGAGAATTATTGATCAGCTGCCTCCTGCACTCCCCACATTGGGCCTGCAACCTGAGCATGTGCCCTGACCGGGAATCGAACCCTGACTTCCTGGTTCATAAGTCGACACCCAACCACTGAGCCACTCCGGCCGGTCAGTCTGGGAAGTTTTTCTTTGTGAATGTGTGGGTGATAAGGTTGGACTGGTTTTCTGGTGATTCAGGCAACTGATGGGGCAGGAGTGGGATTAGGGGGCAGCGCTACGTTCAGACACTATCCCCAACAGAAGAAAGAGCTGGGCGGCCATTGGTGACATTTTTCTATGGAGGGGGAGTCACTTTGGCACTGCTGCTGCTGCTGCTGCTTTTCTCTCTTCTTCTTCTTCTTTTTTTAAATAATATATTTTTATTGATTTCAGAGAGGAAGGGAGAGGGAGAGATAGATAGAAACATCAATGATAAGAGAGAATCATTGATCGGCTGCCTCCTGCATGCCCCGCATTGGGGATCCAGCCTGCAACCCGGGCATGTGCTCTGACTGGGAGTTGAACCGTGACCTCCTGGTTCCTAGGTGGATGCTCATCCTCTGAGCCACACCGGTTGGGTGCTTTCTCTCTTCTTATCCCTCGTTTTGGTGCTTCTTAGGTTTTCCACATCATGACGTGTGTGGAAAATCATATTTCCACGGCACACAGGAGTAACCTGAGGCCAACTTAAATTTCAGATAGAGCGGGGTGACGTTTGTCCCATGTCTTTAGATCATATGACTATAACAAACACAAAATACAAGGACTTGATATCAAATGCTGAAGTTCTTTTTACTATTTTAATAAGAAACTCGTTCCTGCTTTTCTGGACAAAGCTTTTCCATATTAAGCTTTATGTTTGAAAGTGAGAGTTTTTTGTTGAGTTCTTCAAATTCTTGATAGCCAGTCTCGTCAAGAAACTGTACAAGTGGTAGCAGAGGTGCAAAGAACAGTTACTGCTTCATTTCTCACCATGACTCAGAGTTTTATAAAGCAGTCTTTTTAAATAATATTTTAGGAGTATGATCACTCTTTAAACCTGACTGCTCTTCTTTTTCAATCATTGGCCAAGGCAGTGGTACTGTGGCTTGCGGCAGTGAAATTGATTTTTATCCCAACAACACCCTTCCGTATTCAGTCCTCAGAACAGTGGTGCTGCGTCCCTCCCAGCGTGCACCCGTGCCTTCCCCTCGCCGCGTTAGGACCATTTTATGAGGCTGTTAGTTGGCTTTTGTGATTGATTGTGTGACCTCGAGCTCATCCGCTTATGATCTGATTCTGGTGGAAGTGACTCTGGGATGATCCTTAATAAACATCCTTTATGCAAATACGTGTGTGTGTCTATAGCTTAGCCCAAACGTAGTCCTCCATACATGGCTCTGTGGTGACTTTTTTGGATTTGTCCGTCTTTGATCCAGTGACTTTTGAGTTTTAATTTAAAAAGCCAGCCTTGTGGTGGAAGAATAAATCTTTTTGTTTGTTTGTTTGTTTTTTAAATATATTTTATTGATTTTTTACAGAGAGGAAGGGAGAGAGATAGAGAGTTAGAAACATCGATGAGAGAGAAACATCGATCAGCTGCCTCCTGCACATCTCCTACTGGGGATGTGCCCGCAACCAAGGTACATGCCCTTGACTGGAATCGAACCTGGGACCCTTCAGTCCGCAGGCCAACGCTCTATCCACTGAGCCAAACCGGTTTCGGCAAGAATAAATCTTTTTAAAATTTAAAGTCACTATGTAAATAATACGATGAGGATAGTGAACTAGACCTTTATTTTTGAGATATCTAAGTGGACATCACCCCAATAAAGTAACTGCCTTATTATACCAGGGTTTTTCATTTACATGAAGTAAATAATATTAAAAGGTGGCAATATTCGTTCTCTGAAAACCCGGGTGGGTGGGTGGGTGGTGCGTGCAGATGCCGGGAGCTGGGGGAGCCTTGTGTCTGGGAGCTGTCCGTAGTGCTGACTTCCAGAGTGTGCTTGTGAGCGCATGTGAGCGGCCTGAACAGAAGGCAGGAGAGTGATTGGTATTTTCTGCAGAGGCATTTAGATGGGATTTCTTTCTTTTTCAAGTTACCAGTTGCCACCCTTTCGTAGGGCCTGAAATTAACAGGCACGCCAGGCAGCACTTTTTAGAAAATGCACTTTCTAGAAAATACCAGATCACACTGCAGATGGAGTATACGCAGTATACATGTGTGTATATATGTATGTTATGTACGTATACATGTGTGTACTGGGTTGCAATGTAAAGTTATTTCTCGCTATGGATTAGAGTAGAAATATGAATGTCGCTGTTGTAGGTGTTGGGAGCCAGAGAATACTCCCAGCCAGGGGAGTGGCATGGTCAGACTGTAGTGCTCGATAGGTAGCTCTTAGACCAGGCCTGCAGGGGGCAGAGGTAGGAAGGTGGTGAGGCGTTGCAGCAGCCTGGGTGAGGGGGAAGGCTTCCGTGGCCAGTCGGGGCCGATGGGTCGGGAAGGAGACACAGGAGATACTCAGGAGTGAAATTTCTAGGATTGCCTGCGTCGCCGTGTGGGGCGGGAGGTGGGGGACTCCCAGGGTGGCTGGCCTTGGTCACAGGGTGTACGGGGGTGACCGTCCTGCCAGGAGAATAACCATCTATTTAAACTCACTTCTTTCTGCTTCACCTGATGATCGTCTGGTATAAAGGTTTTCTCAGTTTTAGGAGAAAGACTTCTTGGAGAGTGTATTTTTGAGACATTACAGATCTGAGGGGTTTTCCTCTCACTGGGGAATGTGATCCTAGGGGACCACTGCCCACCCCTCTGGCAGGCAAGGCTCCCTGACGGTGCCCTCCGGTGCCCGCTGGCAGGGGTGACTGTCCAGGGAAACCCGAAGGCTGTCTGACCTCCGTGCCTCCGCGATTCCTTTCCCCGCTGCCCCTCCCCCGCCAGACTGCTTGCTCTGCCGTAAGCCAGGAGGGGGGTTGAGTGTTTCCCGTGTCACCTCTGGGTGGCAGGTGATGAGGGCCCTTTCCTTTTTGTGCTTTTCTTTATTTTCTAAATTTTCTGTCACTGATACTAAATGTTTTATTTACTATTAGATGTTTATTCGTAATATAATTTTATTTTCTACAATTCATAGTACTTAAGCGTTTTTTCTGTTTACCGATGCACACGTGTTTGTTTTAAACAATTGAAAGGAATACAGCAGGGTGTTACGTAGAAGGAGAGCATCTCTAGTAATCCCACCCCCAGGGAAAATCAGTTACCTGCACGATCATACGTCAGCTCCACTGACAGGAAGTAGCTGCCGCTCCTCTGTGGTTCCCTGTAGCTTGTCCTCTTTTTCCTTTTAGCGAGTAGCATGGACAGCCTTTCATGCCAGCTGCCTCTGAGTGACACATCACAAACCCAAAACCACACGGGCGCAGGGAGGCGCCTGACATGAGCGCAGTGCCTTGATGTGAGACGGAGCCGTGGGTGGGCTTGGGGAGACAGATGAATCCACACCTTCATCTGAAGAGGCAGCCAGCCAGTCCTTAGCTTAGTCATTTTTTCATCACGTGGGCTATCTTTGTTGAATCTTTTAGTTTTCCAAGAGAAGCTAGAAATCTGTCATTGTTACCCTGCAGTTTTCCAGTTTCCCATACGGCGTGAGGCCGGTCGGGTGGAGCCAGCACCCCATCCGTTAGCCACTGGATGTAGATGGACCTCTATTGTCTGAAGCAGCCTTTTCCTTTTCCAGTGCAGGCCGCTTCTCCTTTATTCTTTCTCTTTGCTCACAGCGAGGTGAGGTGTCCTTTCTGCAGGGCTGGCCGGCACCCCCTCAGGTCGGAACTGAGCCGTAGATTCGCCTCTAAAGTGGCCTGTCTGGTGCGATTCTATTAAATTCTTTAGCAGAGTTGAGAGTTCCACCCAGGATCATAGCCCTCTTCCTTCTTTTTTTTTAAAAAAAAATATATTTTATTGATTTTTTTACAGACAGGAAGGAAGAGGGATAGAGAGAGTCAGAAACATCGATCAGCCGCCTCCTGCACACTCCCTACTGGGTATGTGCCCGCAACCAAGGTACATGCCCTTGACTGGAATCGAACCTGGGACCCTTGAGTCCGCAGGCCGACGCCCTATCCACTGAGCCAAACCGGTTAGGACCCTCTTCCTTCTTAAAGCCTGGGGCGGATTCAGAGATGAGGTCAAAATGGCAGCGGCCGCATGGACTCAGGAGGCATCTCCCTCAGCATGGGGGGCAGCTCCTGCCCCTGCTGTGCGGGGGCTCGATGGCCGGGCAGTCGTTCTGCCTCTGGGCCTGAGTGGCGCTTCTCGGCCCATCTGAGAGCAGGCTGCAGAACGGTCTGACCACTGAGTGTAAAGGACCCTGTGTCCCCAACCGCCCGTGGAGCCCACTGGTGTCCTGTTCCTCACCGTGCTGGCTCCGAGGGTCGGCCCTTTCCTGGTGGTTTCATGATTGTAGGACAGGAGGCAACCCAGGGAGGGGCATCACCCAGTTGTCGACTCCCCGAGCCCCCGTTTTCTGATGCTGCCAGCCATGGAGTGGCTGAGAGAGTCACCTACATTCTAAATAAGATGCCTGTGAAAGAGATCAGCATAGGGCTCAGTATTGTTGGTTCTCATTATTTTAGGTTTTTTGTTTTGTTTTGTTTTTTAATACAAAACTCTTACTGCGTGTCTCATCCCCATGGGCTTAAGGACACAGGTTTCCCTGCTTGGGGACTGCGTATTGACTTACGTGTGGTAGCACAGAGCTGTCACTTGGGGTGTTAACGTGCTTTAAGCAGAAACTGACTTTGTTTTGTTTTGTTTTGTTTCGTTTCTAGTTTTTGACGTGTTTCTGTTTTGGTCTGACTAGGAGGAGCCTGATCTGGTTAGTGCCATTTATGGCCGAGGGATAGCCTATGGAAAGAAGGGCCTACATGTGAGTATGGAATAGTCGCGCTTGCGTAGTGTCTACACGACCTGCCTCGGACCAGGGTGGATGGAGCACTCCCTGTTGGTGGAGCTCTGGTGGGACGTGCAGAGAGAGGGCTGCTCAGGTCACAGGGAGAAGGTGGCAGGAGAGGACTGACTCAAGACCAGGTGGCCGGGAGGTGGTGAACTGGGAATGTCTACCCAGGTCTGCGGAGGTCAATTTTGCCATATTGTCTACTCTTAAAGGACAGTCTTGGCCAGCCTGCACTTTAGTTTGTAGTGAACTGGACGTAGACCAAGAGAAGCAGGAGACCGTAACTGGTTCCTAAGACACACTCATGGTGCAAGCAGGGCCTGGGCATCAGCAGCGCAGTAGGACTCGGAATTGGAGCTCCTTTCTTAGTTATTTTTTTTTTTAACATATATATATTACTGATTTCAGAGAGGAAGGGAGAGATAGAAACATCAATGATGAGAGAGAATCACTGATCGGCTGCCTCCTGCATTCGCCCCCCTCCCCAACCCTCGCTGGGGACCGAGCCTACAACCTGGGCACGTGCCCTGACCAGGAATTGAGCCATGACCTCCTAGTTCATAGGTCGACGCACAACCACTGAGCCACACTGGCTGGGCAATGTGCCGATTTTAGAGAGAACTTACCTGGACTTCCTGTTGTGTAGGACGCTTAGGGGTTTGACTGACACTGACTTGGCCCCTTCTGTTCCCCCAATGCCGCTGGTCAGCGGTGTCCTCTGCCTGCTGGTGTCCACATGCTCATCCCTTGAAATGTATTGATTCGGGGTTTTACTGGGTGAAGTTTAGAAACTATTCCACCATCTGTAGAACCTGTGATAGGAGTCAGGGCCAGCGTGCTGTTGATGGGTAGGTAGACTTGAGTGAGTTGACTAATGGTACTTTAACTTGTTTAACTTACAGATGCTAAGTTGGTATTTATTTCTAAATAAGTAGTTCTGTCGTTACTAAGTTATTATTGCAGAAATCTGTTGCGCCCGGTCTTGAGTAACAGTGCATCTCATACTGAGCTGATGCCTTTTCAAGGACATTAAGAATGCTGAGCTCGCTCTGTTCGAACTGAGCCGAGTCATTGCCCTGGAACCAGACCGCCCAGAGGTATTTGAGCAGCGAGCAGAAGTGAGTGTGGTTTTCTTTTCCCTCTGCCCTTCCCAGATTAGTTCAGTCTCAATTTTTTTTTTCTATTATTTCATCACTTGTCAATTTTAAAGCCCCCTTATGCTGCTGTTTTCCTCCTACGTAAATGCTTTCAAACATGGTTGAAGTTACTAGGAAACTGTGGGCCCATGATACTCCTGATTTAGCATATAATAGTAATATTGAGTATTAAAACATGATACTCCTGATTTAGCATATAATAGTAATATTGAGTATTAAAACATGATACTCCTGATTTAACATATAATAGTAATATTTCGTATTTACGACAAATACTACTGTCAGTGTTCATTGAAAAGTATATTATTGTATATGTGACGTATCTTAGCAAAACGTAATATGACGGTGTGGTCAAAATGAAACGTGTAGCCTTTAGAAGCATGTGTGTGTGCGCGTGTGTGCACGTGTTTATCTGTAACTCCTATGAGACACACCTGCCCACGTGGAGACACGGCTCAGGTAAGGGTGCCTGTCACCAGACCTTGGAGGACGCTAGTGGAGCAGGAGGCCACATAAGGCGGGACTCCAGGTAATCGCGAGAGCTGACCTGAGGGTGCTTCCTCAGGAGCCGGACAGGGTGGCCTCGGCCCCCGAGTTCTGCGTGAGGTTGGCAAGGGGAGGGCTGGTGCCGGCTTCGCAGAGGCCTCGCTCTCACCGGGAGGAGATGGGACGCATCAGACCCACGTCCTGGGGAACACGGCGGAGGCGGGGTGTGCAGAGCAGAGAAGGGGATGTGTGCGAAGGCCACTCACTTTTAATGCTTTTTAACGAAATGTATTCATTTTACTGTTTTCATACGATAATAGTGAATATCCACGTTTCCTGTTGTGTTTATTTTACTGCACACTTAGCCATGTGGAATGCTTAGGGATTATGTTAATGTATTTAACCGGAATAAAACTTAACTTTAGTCATCTGATCAGGTGGGATGTCATAGTTGAACTAAAGGAAAAAATTACTTCTTTTTCCTCTTTGGGGAGAGAAAACTTAGCAAGGAAGCACTAAGCATTTTATATATTTTTAAATATGTTTTTATTAAGAGAGGAAGGGAGAGGGAGAGAGAGAAACATCAATGATGAGAGAGAATCATTGATGGGCTGCCTCCTGCACTCCCTCCTGCACAACCTGGGCATGTGCCCTGACTGGTTCATAGGTTAACGCTCAACCACTGACCCACACTGGCCATATTTTAGTAATTTACAACTATTTGTGATGATTTTGTTCATTATAGTCTCTTAAATTAGAGTTCCGTTTCTTAAAGGGAATTTTATGTTTTATTGGGGATTTAGCTTTAAGAAGAAAATTCTTTCTCAAACAATGATATTATGATTCATTATCTCTGGTCCATGTTGGATTGTAATCCTGAGGCTCTTTCTTTCTCTACTTTGGTGAGTCCGTGGTGGTTAAAACGTTATGGATAAAGCATGACTTTAATTTCTAAGTTTACTTAGAAAAAAAAGAGTTATCTAGAAGGTTTAAAAATGTTGTATATCTAATAAAAAGCTAATTATGTATCCCAAAATGACATTGGTAATTAGAAAAGTAATTTTCAACTATCGCCCTTTTCCAGGGTTATTGGGCAATGATGTCACTACATGGCGATTTTTTCCAGCTAAATTATAGCATACCACCTACATATATATAAAAAAATTACCTTAGGAGAACGGTTTTACTCTCTGAAAAGTCTATATTCAATGAACATAATGCAGCATTTTTAGTTACTCGGGTGATTATTCTGCCTATTGATTATGGTTCTGTACCGAGGGGTCAATAAACTGGGTAGGGATGTTTTCCCTTCCAAACAGAAGCCCCGCCCACTCTGCCTGTGGGATTCTCAGGCCTACGCTTTGTTCCTTCCTCTTCCTGAGCCGGCATTCCTGCCACCGGCTATGTGCCCACCTGAATCCTCTCCCTTTTGCTAGTTAGCAGCTTCTGCAGAATAGGAAACCAGTTAGTAAAACTTGCAAAACGACCTGTATTATCAGGAGAAAACCAATCCTAACCCAAGAACGTTTGCTGAGGAGAAAGTGCTTGAGCTTGAGGCGTGCACACTGACACCCACTTGGGGTTTCCTCACGTCTTCTTGGTGTACCGTTGCCTTCTGCACTATCTCCTGTGGCGTCCTGTGGCCTGGACACACCGGTTGCTGGGTCAGAAGAGCTCTCCAGACGGGCTTGCCGATGTGTCTCTGCGTTGAGCATGAACACACCAGGGCTTACAGAACACCCGAAACCTTAGAAATAGTCATTCAGCACTTACTACCTCCGAGGACGTAGCCAAAGGTCATGGAAGGCTCTCTCTGGGCCCAACCGTTTCTCTGTCTTAATGGTTCCCAGTTTTCTTTCAGATTGATTTTG